CAGGGCACGGGATCCCGGGAGAAACGAGGACACAGTCTGAATGTGGGGAGAGCACAGAGGGAGAGCAGGATCCCACAGCCCACACGGGGATCAATATGCTGCATACCGTCCATCTCCTGGGTAGACTCAGCCAGAGACCAGACCTGGCTACACACCAGAGACTCCCCATGGGCCGGTGTCCCCACTGCTGCATCAACTGCGGCAAGAAGTTCAGCAACCCACTCACACTGAAACAGCACCAGCGCACGCACACCAGGGAGCAGCCGAACCGCTGTGCCAACTCTGGGCAGAGGTTCAACAATGCCAAAACACTGACCCAGATTCAGCGCAAGCGCATCAGGGAGCAGCCGTATCGCTGTGCTGATTGTAACAAGGGTTTTGCACACAGCTCACAGCTGAGAGTACATCAGCGCACACACACCGGGGAGAGGCCGTATCGCTGTGCTCACTGTGGCAAGGGCTTTGCAGAGAGGTCAAAGCTGAGTAGACATCAGCACACACACAGCGGGCAGTGGCCACACCGCTGTGCTGACTGTGGCAAGGGCTTTGCAGAGATCTCAAAGCTGAGTAGACATCAGCGTACGCACACCGGGGAGCGACCACACCGCTGCGCTGACTGTGGCAAGGGCTTTGCACAGATCTCAGATCTCAGATCACACCAGCACACACACACTGGGGAGCGTCCGTACCGCTGTGCTGACTGTGGCAAGGGATTTGCGTCATGGTCAAATCTGAGTAGACATAAGCGCACACACACTGGGGAGCGGCCACACCGCTGTGCCTACTGTGGCAAGGGCTTTGCACAGATCTCAGGGATGCAAACGCACCAGCAAACACACACCGGGGAGCGGCCGTACCGCTGTGCAGACTGCGGAAAGAGCTTTGCACGGATCTCAGGGCTGAGATTGCACCAGCCCACACACACTGGGGAGCGGCTGTACCACTGTACTGACTGTGGCAAGGACTTTGCACGAAGCTCAAGCTTAAGAGTGCATTATCGCAAACACACCAGGAAACGGCCTCACCATTGCACCGACTGCGGCAAGGGCTTTGCACAGGTCTCAGATCTGAGAACACACCAGCGGACGCACACCGGGGAGCGGCCGTACTGCTGTGATGATTGCGGGAAGCGCTTCAGCAGTGCCAGTACACTGACCAACCATCAGCGCACGCACACTGGGGAACAGTCGTACCGCTGTGACGATTGCGGCAAGAGCTTCAGCAGTGCCAGTACACTGACTAAGCATCAGCGCACACATAGCAGGGAACAGCTCTACCACTGTGCTGACTGCGGGAAGGGCTTTTCCCAGATTTCAGGCCTGAAAATACACCAGCGCACGCACACAGGGGAGCGGCCGTACAGCTGTGCTGACTGTGGCAAGAGCTTTTCATGGATTTCATGCCTGAAAAGACACCAGCATATACACACAGGGGAACGGCCATACAGCTGTGCTGACTGCGGCAGGGGCTTTTCACGGATTTCATGCCTGAAAATACACCAGCGCACGCACACAGGGGAACGGCCGTACAGCTGTGCTGACTGCAGCAGGGGCTTTTCACAGCTTTCAGGCCTGAGAATACACCAGCGCACGCACACAGGGGAACGGCCATACAGCTGTGCTGACTGCGGCAGGGGTTTTTCACAGCTTTCAGGCCTGAGAATACACCAGCGCACGCACACAGGGGAGCGGCCATACAGCTGTGCTGACTGCGGCAGGCGCTTTTCACAGCTTTCAGGCCTGAGAGCACATCAGCGCACACACAGGGGAGCAGCCCTACAGCTGTCATAATTGCGGCAAGAACTTCAGCAGCAACAGTGCATTGACAAGGCATCAGCGCACGCACACAAGGGAGCGGCCGCACGGCTGTGCTGAGACTGTGTTGGGCAGAGAAGGGGACTTGGCTGAGCAGTGTGGGGAAGAGTAGACAGGTGAGGGGATTTTAGAGTAGATGGTCACAAGCTACTCCATTAGGGACCCCCTGCATCTAGGTGGGATCCAGCCAGGTCATCCCCTTCCCCCATCTCACTGGGTTCCAGCCAGGTCTCTCACTCTCTGTCTCTCTCACACACACTTTTACCTGGGATGCACCCAGGACAAACCTCCCCCCCATCTAGATGGGACCCAGCTCGGAACTTCCCCCACATCTACTTTGGTTCCAGCCAGCTGGTGACTCTTGAGTGACATCTAGAGGTGCCATTTGCAGTCCTGTCTCAGCCTGGATTGGTCGGGGGGCGGGAGGGCAGTTCGGTGCGTGTGATTGAAAGAAGACTCAGGAACTGCTCACACTGTCTACAGGTCTGTCGCATCTTACGCGCATTTAACATGCGCGATTTCAGCTTTACGCGGTCGGCAAAAACAAAACAAAAACAAACAAAAAGAAAAACAACAATTTTAATACTGCCCCTGTAGTGCGGGCGATTCCGCCTGCCATGACACTCAATGTAATTTTGACTATACGTGATTTTCGCTTTACGCGCTGACTGCGGAACGTAACCCCAGCATACGATGTGACAGACCTGTACTTTAAATAGAAATGTGATGATGAAGAACTATGTGTGACGTCGCACTCCATATGCTTTATGAAAATATGCTTAGGAATATGACATAACTGGAGTATGCTTTATTCTAAATGCCCCCTGTAACATATCATTAGAAAGCTTGTAATCTACTGAGTGTGTTCATCCTATTTGTTTGCATGTCTTATTTCTATGTCTGGAGTTAGGAGAATAAGGTATGAACTTGAACTACTGATGTAGACATATTAAGTGGAGGCCATTAAGGGTGCTTCAGAATTACTGAGTCGTGAATGGCTTTGTTTACCTGCAAGCCTTCCTGTGGGCTAACCCAGGAAGAATGGAGACTGGGGTCTTACAGAGACATGTGACCCTGTCACCTGATACTGAAATCCATCTTGAAAATGGTACTTTTCGGAGGGGTGGAATTCCAAATAAAGGTGTCCCGCCTTAGAGAAATTCTATATAAGGCCGGGGAGGTAAACAATGAGTGTCTTCAACTGGTTTTGCTTTTTGACTTATGTTGTTCTGTCTGTTATTACTTGAAACCACCTAAATCCTACTGTTTATACTTAATAAAATCACTTTTGTTTATTAATAAACCCAAGGTAGGTAATTGTTACCGGGGATGGGGAGGGGGGCAAACAGCTGTGCATCTCTTTCAGTGTTATAGAGGGCGAACACTTATGAGTTTACCCTGTATAAGCTTTATACAGAGTAAAATGGATTTATTTGGGGTTCAGGCTCCCAGAAAAGCAGCACACTGGGCGCTGGGAAAGTCCCTGTTAACTGAGAAGCCCCAGGGCTGAGTGAATCTCGGTATGTCTTCACTACCCGCCGGATCGGCAGGTAGTAATCGATCTATCGGGGATTGATTTATTGCGTCTCATCTAGACACGATAAATCGATCCCCGAACGTGCTCCCCGTCGACTCCGGAACTCCACCAGAGCGAGAGGTGGAAGCGGAGTCGACGGGGGAGCCGCGCCCGTCGATCCCGCGCCGTGAGGACGGGAGGTAAATCGATCTAAGATACGTCGACTTCAGCTACGCTATTCTCGTAGCTGAAGTTGCGTATCTTAGATCGATTCCCCCCCTAGTGTAGACCAGCCCTCAGTGTCTGAACTGCAGAAGGGTGTGGCCCAATCTCTGAGTCTGCTGGAGCTGAACTGGAGTGTCTAGCTCAGCGAGACAGAGTTGAGGGGTGCCCGTTCTGGCGGGGGGGGATCATTGTCACTGGTACCCCAGTGCATCAAGTGACAGTCTCAAGGGGGTCTCTGTGACCGAACCTGTCACACTATGTACTTGATGTGTAACAAAGGTCTGTTTAACCAGGTGTTGCTATGCTATTAAACAAGCTGATGCTTTCAAATGTCATGGGGAAAAGCCTGTGTGAAGTGTAAATCTTTAAGATGAACCAACCAAAATGTTCTAAGGCCTAACTGACCATCAGGGCTGATGAACTGTGTCATTAGGAGGTGCTTAGAGAGAGTTTCCCATTAATCCTAGGGGAATTCTGTGCCTAAAAATTCTGCGAAAAATATTTTCATCTGCATATTTTCTGTGTCAAAATACCACATTATAATCACACTAGTTTCAATTATTTTGGTAATTTATTTCAAAATACCTGTTAGGAACTATGTAACAATACGGACAACAAAAAAGATTGAGGAAGTGATTTTTTACAAATAGATTCCTCACTAGACATATTAATACAGAACTTTGAGTAATAATTCATTTAAACTACAACATAGAAATGTATTTCCCGTGCCCCTCAGAAGCAGTGCAAAGGCTTGGGGGAGCCAGGGGTCATGGAGGAGCTGAGGGGAGGGGAGTGATTGTTAGGCCTGGTCTACACTAGGACTTTAATTCGGATTTAGCTGCCTTAATCCGAATTAACCCTTCACCCGTCCACACTACAGAGCCAGTTAATTCGAATTAAAGGGCCCTTTAAATCGATTTCTGTACTCCACCTCGACGAACGGAGTAGAGCCTAAATCGATTTTGTTAATTCGAATTAGGGTTAGTGTGGACGCACACCACCGAATTACTGTGTTTAAGTTAATGGGGTAGTGTGGCCGCACACCACCGAATTAATGTGGTTTAAAACCGAATTAAGGTGCTTAGTGTGGCCGCGCACAATCGAATTTATACAGCCTGTTTCCCAAATTCGAATTATCTAAATTCGGATTAATCCTGTAGTGTAGACATACCCTTATAGAGAGTTGAGGAGCCCATGGAGACTGTGGCTAACCCCTGGTCTCTCACATTCAGTCAGGCTCTGTCCTATCCCTGTGTCTCCCCATCACACACACCCCATCTGCCCTGCACCCCCCTTGCATTCAGCCTCTGGCTCAATGTCACCCACTAGCTCCTCTGACCCCACCAGCCGCCCTGTGTGCCCCATTCTGTCCATCCCCTCCACCCATCCATTGCCTTCAGACCTCGGCCCACAGGTAGGGTGCTGTGAAGAAAGCAGCCTCGAACCCCCTCCCTCCCCGTGACTGGCTGCTCCAGCCGTAAGCCGGCTGCTCTCTGTTCTGGTGTCACAGCAGGCCCTTGTGGGGAAAAGGTGCAATTACAGTGCTCCATCAAAATAAATTATTCTGCAATGGAAAAAAAACATGGGGCACATGAATTCTGTCTGCCTACGAGGTGCAGGTAGGAGGTCTCCCCGGCTGTGCAGGGGCTGGCACAGATGGAAGACCCCTCTCCCAACCTACCCCCACCTGCGGTAACCGGACTTTTGGTGTGTGGTCAGTACATCTGACAAGAGGCGGTACAGGTCCCCTTTTGACTAGACTTTGCAGTTGAAAATGGGACACCTGGCAACCCTAGCCACGGACTACACAAATGAGTCAAATCACTATATATGACTGTGATGAACTACTATCCAAGGACAGGGCCATCCAGGCGTGGGAAGAGACTTTCCATAGAGATTCTATTCTAACTTCCAGATGGACATTTCTGCAGTCAGCTATGAGTGCTGATGGAAGGAGCGTGGAGTCATGCACAGCTGAACAAACGAGTACATGGCAGAGAGCCCACGGAAAGTAGCTTGTGGAGGTAGGTTACTGAACAGATCTGCGCTAGTAAATGTTCAGTGTTTTACACTGGGATACTGGAGTCACTGTGATGGAATACACCACTATTTACACCCTACACACTACAATAATAATCTTTGTACAAAATATGCCTTAAAAAGTATAATATCAAAACCAATATCTTGCTGGCCAGTATTATCATGGTGAAATGTATGCAGCAACTTTGTATATACAATTATGAACATAAGCTGAAATCATGACTGAAGTGTGTTCAACAGACACACCTGAGGAGTGAGTAAAACTTCCTCCAAAACAAAGGAGAAGTTAACGCCTCTAGCCATGGTGCCATCAAAGCTGATGGGCCATCAATTGTCAAGTAGCCATTCTTTGGAAAGGAATTTGGGCAGGAACAAAAAGATCTGCATCTTAGCAAAGAACAGCATGAAACCCCTTCTGGCCAAAGTTCAGAAAGTCTCCCCACTCAGCTGAGGAAAACTCCCTGTCGCCTGTCCATTTCTCTTTTTCACCTGAGAGGACAAAAAAAAAGAAAGAAAAGAAAACAAAAAC